CTTGGCATTTTCTCTTAATTTTCTCTTAATTGGCTGTCTGAGATGCTTAGAATGCTCACCCTCCTCAATTCTCACTACTGACTTCTCTGCCTTCCTTTAAGCCTCAGCTAAAATCCCTTTTTCTATAAGAAGCTTTTTCCAATTCCTTTTAATTCTAATATATTCCCTCTTTTAATTATTTCCTGTTTATCTTGTATATAGCTTGTTTGGTTATATTTGTTTACTTGTTGTCTCGTCCATTAGATTATGAGCCTCTTGAGAATAGGGACCATCTTTTATCTCTTATTGTATTCCCAGCACTTAGCACAGTGTTTGACACATAGTAAGTGCTTAATAAGTGATTATTGACTAACAGTTGAGGGCCCCACCATCCTCCCATTCACTCGTTCAGCCTTACTACCTAGATGTCATTCTCAACTCTTTATCCTTTCTTACCTGGACGACTACAGAAGTAGTTGCCAAGTTTGGTCAGTTCTCCATTTGTGGCATCTCTAATATACATACCCTTCTCTTCTCTGATACTGCTACCACTCAGATGCAGGCCCTCATCACTTCATGCTTGAACTATGGCAGTAATCTGTTGTTAAGTCTCCCTGCCTCAAGTCTTTCCCTACTCCAGTCCATCCTCTTCTCAGCTATCAAAGTGATCTTCTTAAAGCACCAGGCTGATTATGTTAGTCCCCATCACCCTCCCATTTAATAAATTCCTGTGACTCTTCATTATCCCTAGGTTCAAATATAAAGTCCTATGTTTGATTTTTAAAGTCCTTTATAACTTGGCTCCTTTCTAACTTTCCAGTCTTCTTGAACCCTTTTCCTCTCAACATACTCTATAATCCAGTGATTCTGTCTTCCTTGCTGTTACTCAAACAAGACACTCCATCTCTCAGTTCCATTCATTATCACTAGTTGTCTCCCTTGTCTGGAATTCTCTCCCCATCTTTGCCTCCTAATTTCCCTGGCTTCCTTCAAATTTTAGCTAGAAATATCATTTTCTGAAAGAAGTCTTTATTGGTTCCCCCTTAATGCCAATACTTTCTTTCTGAAATTATCTCTAATTTATACTGTATATATATATATTGTTTGTATGTAGTTGTTTGCATGTTTTCTCCCCCATTAGATTTTGACCTTCTTGAGAGCAGGATTATTTTGTTTTGTTTTGGCCTTTCTTTAAAAGGCCTTTGACACACACACAGTGCTTGGCACATCATAATCACTTAATAAATGCTTGTTGACTTGACTTCAACCTTTACAGTTGTTGTTTTCCTGTATTTGAGATTACCAATTTCCAGAACAAATATGATCTTCCATTTGGAAGGAGAGGGGAGAGCTCTAGCTACTGATGTTAATAGAACCATCTATCTAGTACAGGTAAAATTGGTCTCTTTCATTGCTTTGTATTCTCTAGCTTTATTTTCTTAGGACTCTATAACTTCCCCAAAAGAGTAGCACAAAGGAAGAGAAAATGGTCACTGTGTTCTTGAAATCTCATGTGGTTAGGACTTAATAGTGATCATTAAAGAAGTGGAATCTCTAAAATTTTGATCAAAATATTCTCCTCAGTACTCCTCAGATCTGCTGGAATGGTGATTAATGTTAAATGAGACTAGAACGGTATTTTCTCTTTTTCCTTAGTTTTGACTTATTAATTCTGAATAAGGGTACCTGTATTTCACTTCACATTTGATGTTTTAAAGCCACTGTGCTTTTCCTTTCCTCATTACCCACCCCTCTTATATTGCTTTTCCAACCCTTGTCTAAAACTTAAATTCATCTGCATTTACTTTATTTCAATTTAACATCTTCCTATTCTCCCAGATGAATTTTCTTTCCCAGTTATTAATCCTAATTAATTAGTAATCCTTACCTAATATTTCCACCAATTCAGCATAACAAATATTTGTTTGCACCTATTATGTATAAGACTATGGTGTTGGTGGTGGTGGGGATACAAAGATGAAAAATGAAATAGCCCCTGACCTCAATGAGCTTACACATGTACTTTTTTTTTCTTTGAGTTGGGGAGGTATGGTATATAAATTTGTTGTTGTCCAGTTTTTTCAGTCATGTCCAACTCTTTGTTACCCCTTTTTTGGATTTTCTTGGTAAAGTTAGTGGATTGGTTTGCCATTTCCTTCTTCAGCTCATTTTACAAATAAGGAAACTGAGGTAAATAGGGGTTAAGTGCCTTGCCCAGGGTCACACAGCTGGCAAGTGTCTGAGGCCAGATTTGAATTCAGGTTCTGCTGACTGCAAGCCCAGTGCTCTATCCTTTGGATCACCCAGCTGCTCCCATCTGTGTATGTACATATACATTATCATATTTTATATCCACATATGTTTATATATGTGTATACATATAACACACATATACACACATTGTGCATTCATATATGTATGTATGTGTGTATATACATACATATATACAGAGAGAGAGAGAGAGAGGGAGAGAGAGAGAGAGAGAGAGAGAGAGAGAGTGTAAGACCTGGAATCGGAAAACCTGAATTCAAATTTTGTCTTACTATCTGTATTATCATGGACAAGTCACTTAACCTATCCGTATCTGACTTTTTTCATTTGTAAAATGAGAGTGATACTTGCACTACCTTTAAAAATCTTAAAAAAAAATTAATCCATACTAGCAATGCACAACTCTGATGATTTTTCAAAAGCAATGTGGCAATTTTGAGAAAGAAAAATAAGGGAAAGTGAAGGAGAGGTGAATAATGAATTGAATCTCTGATACTGCCAGCTCAGTGCCTTTAGTACCGAAGTGCCTTTTGCTACCTTGTCCTAGGTAGCATTCTCTCAAGAGACCCAAACAACATGGTCTAGGAAGATTTAAGGAGTGGCAAAAGGCACGCACGTGCACACACACACACACACACACACACACATATATACACATACATTACATAATGTATGTATAATAAATAAAATATTATATATGTGTACATAAATAGGAGCGACTAGGTGAGCAATGAATAGAGCTCCAGGCCTGGAGTCAGGAAGATCTGAGTTCAGTGCTGGCCTCAGACACTTACTGGCTGTGTGACCCTGGGCAAATTACTTAACCCTTATTTACCTATCTATGTTCCTTATCTGTAAAATGGGGACACAATGGAGAAGGAAATGGCAAAGTACTCCAGTATCTTTGCCAAGAAAACCCCATGGAAAAAGTCTATAAATTCTTGTAGAGTTGGACAGGACTGAACAACAAAAACAAATACACACAGATGTGTGTGTTATATATCTACTCTGAACTTAACATGCAAAAAATGAAAATGGAAAGTAAAAACAGAAAAAGAGGATTATGTGTGAAGTTATGAATTTCTATTATATACAGCTTACTTTAAAAAATTATAATACCAATAAACATTTGTTAAACATCTACTATGCATAAGGTACTGTACTAAGTGCTGGGGATACAAAAAGAAGCCAAAACCAGTCCTTGCCCATAAGGAGCTTATATTCTAATGGGGAAAACAACATACAAATGAATATATACAAGGCAAGCTATATACAAGATAAGTAGGAAATAATTAATGAAAGCAATAATAATTAACAGGCACTAGAATTAAAAGGGGTTAGGAAAGACTTCAAGCAAAATATGAGATTTCAGTTGGGACTAAAAGAAAGCCATAGTTGGAGTTGAGGAGGGAGAACAGTCCAGGCCCAGGAGACCACCAGAGAAGAGAAAATGCTTAGAGCTGAGAGAAGGAGTATCTTGTTTGAGGAATAGCAAGGAGGCCAGTATTACTAGGTTATGGTGTAGAGTAAGATGTAAGAAGACTTCTAGTCTTTTTTCTAGTCTTCTCCCTTTCTAAGATAGGAGGGGGCTAGATTTAAAGGGCTTTGAATGCCAAACAGAGCATTTTATATCCTGAGGGTGATAGAGTGCCACTGGAGTTTATTGAATAGAAGGGTGACGTGGTCAGACCTTAATTTAAGAAAACCACTTTGGTGGTTGAATGGAGTATGGATTGGAGTGAAGAGACTTAAGTTAGGAAGACCCACCAGCAGGGGTATAAAAAAAGTATAAAATGCATTCTGTGTGTTACTTTCAAAGCTCTCTTGCTTGTCTCTGTTGCCTTCTGAATGTTCTCCTCTGTGGGAAAAAAGAAATGCTTCATTGACCCTCTTTTTTTTTTATTGGCAATACTATCATTAACTTTCCCCTACCCTGAAAATCCCTGCTTCCAATGAAAAAAAAAAAACATAATCCTTATAATAAATAAGCACAGTCATACAAAGCAAATCCACATATTTCCCGTGCCCAAAAATGTACTTTAAAAAATTTTTTTATACCTTCAATCTATTACACTCTGTCAGGAGGTAGGTGGTCATTGTTCTTCTGAACTCATGTTTTGTCATTGCATTAATCAGAGTTTTAAGGCTTTCAAAGTTATTTTTTTTCCAGTGTTACCATATAAATTGTTCTCCTGGTTCTCTTCACTTTATTCTGTATAATTTTATATATGAGTCTTCTCAGATCCCTTTTGTCATTTTTAATGGTGCAATATTTTTCCATTAATTTCACATACCATAATATATTAAACTATTCTCTAATTGATAGATGTTTTCCATTGTTTCCAATTCTTTGTTATAGCAAAAAGAGCTGCTATAAAATGGTTCCTTTTTCTCTTTCTCTGAGCTCTTTGGAACATAGACCTAGGAGTGTTATTGCTGGGTCAAAGAGTATAGATAGTTTACTGTCTTTTTGCTTATAGTTCTAAATTACTCTCCTGAATGGCTAGACAATAGCTCCCCCAACAAACAGTACTTCCTGAACTCTTCTAACAACTATCATTTTCCTTTTTATGTCATTTTTACCAATTTTCCAGTTCTCTGGAAAAGCCATATTTCCTTGCATGTGTTAATTTCAATACTGGAAATTAATATACGTATATGTACACATATACAATATTCTTCCTACTGGCCTAGTATTCTTTTCCCTCAAAACAAAATAGATAACATTTGCATTTTTAAATTTTTTTCAGATTTGGAGACCAAGAAAGGAAGACAATTACAAAATATCTTTTAAGCAAGAGATTCACTAGGTCAATAATGGAAAAATTCAGAGGGGACATTACACAGGATCCCATTTTTGGAGAAGAGTGTGAAAGTGAGGGCAAATTAGGGAGGCAGGAGCAAAACCCTGCAGGGAAGATTCAGAAGAAATCCTTTTCCAAGAAGAAAGGTTTTAGGCAATTGACAGTCACCAAAAATATAATGCCCACTGAAGAAAGAGATGATAAATGTAATGATATTAGGAGAAACTTCACATTGAAGTCAAAACTTATTACTCATCAGAGAGTTCATATAGGTGAGAAATCTAGTAGTTTTGACACATGTGGAACAACCTTCAAACAGCATTCGGAATTAGTTAAATGTCGAAAAATTTGTTCAGGGAAGAAAACTTACAAGTGTAATGACTGTGAAAAAATCTTTAGTGACCGCTCAAACTTTATTCGTCATCAGAGAATTCACACTGGAGAGAAACCCTATAAATGTAAGGAATGTGGGAAAGCCTTCAGCCAGAGCTCATCTCTTATTGAACATCAAAGAACTCATACTGGAGAGAAACCCTATAAATGTAATGAATGTGGAAAATCATTCACTGTGAGCTCATCCCTTACTCAGCATCAGAGAATTCATACTGGAGAGAAACCCTATAAATGTAATGAATGTGGGAAAGCTTTTAGTGATTGTTCATCCTTTACTCAACATCAGAGAATTCATACTGGAGAAAAACCTTATAAGTGTAATGAATGTGGGAAAGCCTTTAGTGATTTCTCATCCCTCACTCAACATCAAAGAATTCATACTGGAGAGAAACCCTATAAGTGTAATGATTGTGGTAAAGCTTTTAGCCGCAGTACACATCTAACTCAACATCAAAGAACTCATACTGGAGAAAAACCTTACGAATGCAATGAATGTGGGAAAGCCTTCACTGCACACTCAACCTTTACTCAACATCAGAGAATTCATACTGGAGAGAAACCCTATGAATGTAGTGAATGTGGGAAGGCTTTTCCTGAAAGCTCATCACTTACAAAACATCAGCGAGTTCATACTGGAGAGAAACCCTATGAATGCAGTGAATGTGGGAAAGCCTTTAGCCAGAGCACACACCTTATTCAGCATCATAGGATTCATACTGGAGAGAAGCCTTATAAGTGTAACGAATGTGGAAAAGCCTTTGGTAATAGCTCAGTCCTCCTCCGACACCAGCAACTTCATACTATAGAATAATACTGTTAATATAAAAATTTGGGGAAAAAAGTTTTTCTTAATTTGCCCTATTTTTCCATTGACATACTTGCCACCAATGGCATTTACTTCTAACTTTTATAGGAAGACCAGGCCTATTGCTTGGATTTCAGTCCCATAAAATTAAGCATGTCAAAAGCCTCCTAGCTGGGATAGGTATATCAAAAACAAGATTTCCTTATCAGTGTGTCATCTATGTATATAATTTTGCCTGTCTTCTACTGCTTCTTTGGTTCCTGTACATCTCCTGTTTCTTCTCTGCCTGCTCTCCCACCCAAACTTTTAATTGTACACTTTGCCCCTGATCTTTGTGTCTTTGTTCCCATCTGCCTACCTATAGGGGTTCTGATGTTATTTTATTAGTACCTGTGCATGCCTTAATTTTTACTTGTTTACCTGGATCCTACCCCCTTGATCTCAGGTATTCATATATACTTATCTGTCTGCTTTCTAATGCTGTGCTTTACACTGACTTTCAATTAGAATATCAGTTCTCCAATATTTTCACAAACCCCTTGTTTTTCCTAGTCTCGGCTTCTTATTGCTTCCTCTCTATGATATGTTATTGTCGTCAATACTGCAATCACTAACAGATTTATTCCTTTATTCAAGTATTGTATCTTTCCTTCTGACTGTTGTCTCATCATTCCTATGGCCAAGTGAGATCTATTTCTGCTGTGCCAGTTATGTTTGTTTATGAATTCTTTGTACTGATTATTTATAGGCTTCTTAAGGGTCTCTAACAGTGCTGAGCATAGAATAGAAGAAAATTCCCAAATTGGGACTTTTTAAAAGGCAGTAATATAAAAGCAATAAAAAAAAAAATCAAGAGGTAGATTTAGGCTTGGTTTCAAGAAAACTTACTAATAATTAGCACTGTACCAAAGTCTAATTGGCTCCCTTAAAAAATATCTTTAAGCAAAGGCTTGATGACCACTTGTTGGATATGTTGTAGAGGGGATTCTTTTTCAGATATGGGTTGGATTAGAAGACCTCTAAGGTCCCTTCCAAGGCAGAGATTCTATGATTTTATGAACAGGTGCTTAATAAATATTTGTTGGTTTATTAAGGATCTAATATTAGTCATATCCTATGTGACATCATAGTGGACTTCACAAAATTGAGGTTTTTTTGCAGTGATTTATTTCCTTTTACATACTTGGCCTTTAATTAAAGTGAGCTGATGGTAGTGTTTTGTTCATGGCTTCATGGTCTATTCTAGATCATCATATCCTGGTCCCTTTTTGAGATGATTAAGACCAAATAGTATGCTTTTCTGTTAAATTATTATTGTTACAATAGGGTTAAGTTTTACACTTTTGTTTTCATTGATATAGAGAACTCATAGGTGAAGAAATACTACCAATTCAGGTCAGTCTCCTTACTGCAACTGTTGCAGTAGTTAGAACACTGAGACGTTAAGTGACATTCTAGAATCATACCACCATTATGTGTCAGAAGCATGACTTGAACCTAGGTGTTCTTGTCTTTCAGGCTGGCTTTTATCCACCATTCCATGCTATTTTTAATATAACTATTGAAACAGTGGACCCCAAACTTTAAAGAACACTATACAAGATATACAATTTGAAAAATATATAATAATGTTATAAAAGGTAGTAACTTTCTCATTGATCTTCACCTGTTCTCATTCCTATAGACCTAAGTAAAACCAATTGCACAATTTTTGGAGTTAAACCATAGCTTTAACATCTCTCATCAACTTTGTATCAAAAATCCTAGGGGTCTGTTTCCTTCCAACCTATGATATTCTCCTCCTAATGTGAGACTTTTTTTACAGCTTAGCAGAGAAAGGGCATTAATGTGACCTCCTGATTTTCCACACTCTTGGTCCCTGCTTTTAATAGGAAAATAAGCATGTTGGCCCAGGAGCATAATGCTGCTTAATCAATCCTGTAAGTCTACCTTTTCTCTAGTCAGCAAAAAAATTCTTTACCTTTCCATTTGGTATTTGCTCTGCACGTTGCATATACACACACAGTATGAAATTGATCTTTTTAATCAGTTCGAACTCAAAGCATTGAGTAGAAATAGCTTTTCATTAAAAGTCTTGGAGTTACCAGGAGAAATTATTAGCCATACCAAAATGTATTTTAATAGAACGTAACATTTCAAAATCAGTGTAAAGTGATTTCTCTGTGTACTAGAAAACTCTGAGATACCCTTAATCATGGTAGGGACTTTAGACTTTACCTTTTTTCCTCTATTACTGAAGAGTTGGATCTTAAACCATCTGATGAACACTGTTATCTTGGGCCGCAGTTAAACCTCTGCCTAATTTCCCTATTGACTTGGGTCCGTTAAATATTTAGAAGTCCCAACATTGAGGCAGGGTGCAGCTAGCCTCAAACTAGAACCTGTACATCCTAGGAATGCTCTTAAGGTTCTCAGCCCTGCCTGATTGGGAGTTCTGTAGAGTTCTGACTCTAGTTTCTTTAACTACTTCTGCTGAAAGACCCAGACCCTAGACTTTAGCTCTATTGAAGTCAGAAGTCTACTGCTTTGAGGGTGGAAGCATCTCTTTTCAATGAGGCAGACACTCCCACCTTCACCAATGAATTTGTTTTCATCATGGTGAAGTCGGGGAGTTAGGGGAGTTTGGAGTCTAGGGAAGAAGAGGAAATGAGAAATAATATTATTGGTCATGAAGACAGCTAGGTAGCACAAAGTGCTAGTTTTGAAGTCAGGAATACTTGAGTTCAAATCGTGCCTTAATAGATTTGTGATCCCAGTGCAGGGCATTTAATAGTTCTCAGCCTCAGTTGCCTCATCTGAAAAATGGGGATAACAGCACACCTCAAAGGATGTTTTAAAGATCAGTTTACTATTGCGTGATACCCTCTGTTAGTTTCTTCCATCACCATGACACAAATTGACAGGATTAGGTTGCTGAAGAAGGAATAAAGATCACAAGTTTTTAGCCCTGGATAATCATAACAATAGCAGACATTTACATAGTGTTTTATGGTTTGCAAAGCAGTTTATATGCATTTCATTTTGTTATAACTAATATATGCAGTAACTTCTGTGGCCCCCATTCTGTCATCCCTAGTCCATAAAGAAAATCCTTTGTGAACATCAATGAGTGATCTTCAGACACTATACAATTAGCTCATAGAAACCCTCTAAAATACTAATCATTTTGTTATTTAGGTGTTAATTTTTAATATGATTTCATTTCTATAAACTATATTAGGGAAGTTGGAGGGAAATAGAGACTAAACTGTATCATTTTCTGTATCTCCTAGGAATGATCCTCAGCCTTGTACCCTATGTGGATGATTTTGTTGTGAATCATTTTTTTAAGGCCCCTAGGTAGGTGAGGGTCAAGAAGTCAACGAAGTTATTTTTTGATAATGAGCCCCTGGAAGAATTGCAGGAGGAGAGACCATGGCCTTGAATTGGTAAAAAAATGTATCTTACCTATCTTTCATTGACTGAAAATAGATTTTCTTTTGTCAATACATGATAGAGCTGATTTTAGTTGCAAGAATTGATAGCGATAGGCTTTGGAGGCTGCAAGGGAATGGAAAGTTTTTTGGCCCAGTTTATTACTAAGAGGTCCCTTTGGCCCATTGCAAAACTTACTGTCTGTTTAGCTTAGAGACTCCTGAAAAATGTGCCTCAAACTAAAGATGCAGATTGCATAAGTCTGCCCAGAATTTCCTTCACAGATGGAATCAGTCCACACCTTCCAAGCCAGTCGATTTGAGATGGAACCAAAGCCAAATAAATTATGTTGGGGGAAGCTAATATGCACCATAGTAACTGCCTTCTACTTTAGTCACTACCACCACCAATCCAATTTGTCCGAAGGCAGCTGAATCATGGGGACAAGCTCTGCTCTGGAGAAGTCCTTAGGACTGTGTATAAAAACAATTGGTTTATACGTGGAGTGCCATATTTCCATGCCCCTCATGCTTTTTGCCTGGGGGAACCCATTCATATGTTTTTAGGGGGATCTGTTTATATTAGCATGAGAAGTAGGAATATTCCCATTTTAGTATAAGAGCTAATAGAAGTCTACAAGGCTAAGGGTAAAAAAAGGTTGCTCATGGGACTAGTACAAAGTACTCAGATCTCAGAGTGTTGAGAGATTTTAGAAATCATCTACTTTAGCCTCATTTTACAAATGAAACTCAGGCCCAGAGAGATTGTGATTTTGGCCATGATTATATAGGTAACGCATAGGTTCTATTTTGTCATCTTGCCTGAGGTCACAATTGTGACTCATTGAAATCTCTAGTTAGTCTGAGATTTGTAAGCAATTTTCAATTTATATTTATCCAAGAGTGAATTATTCAGGCTTTCCACTTTTGCTGTTTCTCTCCCGTTTCCTTTAAATGGGTCAAGAACTTCTGGGGAATAAGATGTGAAGAACTGCAAAATAGTCATTTTGGGAAAAAGATAAAGATAACAATAGGTTATTGAAAATAAACTAATGTTTTTCCCCAAACCACCTTCTGACTTCTAGACTCCAAATCCCAATCTTACCTTTGAATTCTCTCATTATCTACGTCTTACCATTAGTTAAATCTTTTGAATTTTCAAAAAGGTCTTTTCTTGCTACTCTTAAAAATATTTTAAACCAAAAACACCATTTACCCAGCACAACACAAGAATGATTCTGTATGAAGCTAAATCTCCATTTCATACTGCTTGCTTAAAAAATACCTAATAAATTACATACATTACTTTCAAAACTTTGTCTGTGCTTTCTTCTGAACTTTGTTTTTTCTGTGTACTTTTAAAAATGTTGCAATGACCCTATAGTGTACAAAACTCAGCATTAAAACCTGCTGTGTCATACATCCCTTTAGAACAATTTTTTAGAGGCAGCTAGATGGTGCAGTAGATAGAGCACCGGCCTTGAAGTCAGGAGAACCTGAGTTCGAATGTGACCTCAGACCAAACACTTGACACTAGCTGTGTGACCCTGGGCAAGTCACTTAATCCCAATTGCCTAAAAATTAAAAAAAAAAAAGAACAATTGTTTGTTTTCTTGCCTAAAGCTTTGTAACATTTAGTAATGCTTTCTAGGTTCCTTTTGGCAATATCATTTGTAGCTCATGAATCAACATAAATTGTTAGTAGTCATCAAGTTTGACAAATCTTGGGAAGATTACATGCTTGCCTTTCCTTTCTAAGAAGAGTAATTACATAGAATAGGATTACTAAAGTAGACAAGTACTGTCAGCAATTTTACAATCTGACTGCTTCTGACAAAATATGCTTATGAAAAATTGGTTTTTTAAAGAAAATTCTTAGTGAAATCATTTGCTTTTATATTACCAAAATTTCTCTTATAATATAGTTTGAGGTCTGGAAGTACTGTTACTCCTGCTTGTTTTTAGATACTTTTCCATGATAATGAAGGGTCCCTTTGTGCCTATACTTTGTATGGCTTTTAGCATAAATGAGTCTTGACCTTTGTCAAAGATTTTTTCTGTAGCCATTTACATGTAGAAAAAAAATGTTTTTTCCCTTGCCCTACTGTTAAGCTGTTCATGTACCCCTTGTATAAATCCAACTTAGTCATAATGAATGCTTTCTTTGATGAGTTATTATCATTCAACAAGATTTTATTTATAGTTTTTGAATTAGTATTCATCAATGATATTGACTTTATTTCTCCTTTGCTTTATCTGTCCCTGGTTTGAGTATTAGGACTATATTTGTCTCATAAAAGGAGTCTTGGTGGCATGATTTCTTTCTCGGTTTTTGAGAATAACTTTTGTAGATTTGGTACTAATTGTTCCTAAAAAGTTTGATAGAATTCCGTGAATCTATGAAAACTGGGAGTTTTTGTCTTTGGTGGTTCCTTTACAAATAGTTCAATTTAATTTCATTTCATATTCTATTTCATTGCTAATAATAAAAATAAAATAGCATTTATATAGTGTTTTAATGTCTGCTTTAGATATGTTAACTCTTTTGATACTCACAACAACA